ACTGCTCACATTACCATCCAGGAAGCAGACAGAAGGGGCAGGAGACTGGGGTTCTCCTGCAGGGTGTGTCCCCTGACCCACAGACTCCGCCAAAGCTCCATCTCTATCAGATTTGGTCATCTTACGGACAGGTGGACCATTCTGAGCCTTCAGGGGCCTCACCAACCAGGACAATTGCCATCGCCTAAAAGGTGCCGTGAAACCAGTGCAAACCACGAAAAGGAAGAAAGATTGAGTCCTCATGGGTTGGCAGAGGTGATGTCACTGGAAATAGAAGAGTGGCCACAGTGGCAGCCACCTATTAGTGGTTTGCTAGGATCAGAGGAGAGGGAGAAAGATGGTAAGATAGGGAAAAATGGTAAGGACGGGCAGGGAGAACAGGAAGTGGGAGGGGACCCGGGTGACACAGCCCAGTGGGAGGGGACCCGGGTGACACAGCCCAGTGGGAGGGGACCCGGGTGACACAGCCCAGTGGGAGGGGACCCGGGTGACACAGCCCAGTGGGAGGGGACCCGGGTGACACAGCCCAGTGGGAGGGGACTCGGGGTGACACAGTCCGAGGTTAAGTGTGTTCCTGTTTGAAGCATGAAGTCCTGCAGAGAGGAACACAGAAGACTGAAGTCTGGCAGCCTTCGGTCTAGACACGCAGGCAGAAGATTATTTTAAGCACTGGGCATACTTACTTGTTCGTTTTTGTTGGGCTTTTAAGCCCGGCACCATTTCCTTTCTTGTTTATTTTAGTAGCTATCTTCCTGCCCTTCACCTCTAGTACAGGGGCTATTTTGTAACCCTTTATAGTTCTCCTACCTAGTACCCTGCTAACCTGAACTCTAATGTCGCAGACTGTTTCGGTAACAGTGCAGAGTGTGGCAGTAGTGATGTAGTACAGTCAAGCAAGGGTTACTTAAAAATTTGAACCCGCTGCCCATCTGTGCTTTGTGTCTTTGGAACAAAGATGATACTTGAGAGTTTGACTTCTCTCCCGTGACCACTTGGGTCAGCACCATGGTACCAGTGGTTTTATGAAAGGCTGACTCGGAGGTTTCTGCAATTATTGCGCTTATTAGAGTCAGCACACACCTCTAAGGCCAGACATTCAGAGGTAAAAAAGAAACATGAGATTCCCCCACAGTTAACCACAGTTAACCAGGGCTCTGTTTCCTTCTCTACGTACCCTCCAAAGAGCCTCTGACCAAAGGCCTTCTGAGGTGTTCCAGTTTGCTGTGGAAATGATGTCTTCATCTATTTGGAAAGAATGACTATAATTTCACCCAAGGCAATTTGGAAGCAAGATGAATGGCTTCCAGCGCCCCTCCCTTGATAATATTTGGGTGACTTTTATATTTCTCCATGAAAAAAAAATTTACTGGGCAGCAAAGCAGTCCAAAAGAGAAAAACAAAAAAAAGTTCAGCAGCTTAATTTAAAAGTGAATTAATTATCCCCCTGAATGGACCCTTTCTTTGTTTGAATACAAAGCAATCATTTCATGTATTCCCCAAATAACTGCCCTCCTTGCCTCTACCTGAATTCCCACTAATGTCATTTAATAAGACGAAACATACTTTTTCCTAATGGCAGTTTACAATATAACTTCACTGTTGCATTGCAGTTCATGCTCTGCTCCTTTTATCTAAGCAATAAATCTGTAATTTCTGAAACTTGTTCCCAAATTTTAAAGCTAGTTCTCTGTTCTTCTTGGCATAGAATTTGGGTTTTATTTGCCTCCAAATAAGTTATTTTTTCCAATGGAGAGACTGGGGTCTAGGAATATTTATCATATTATAAATAAGGTAAAAATGGAAAGTTCTGTCTAGAAGTTAGAATGAGGCATAAATCTAAATCTAACATTTATGACTTTTAAACTTAAGGCCTTTACTCTCTGTTGTGGTAGTGAAGGTATGTCTACATCTCCTACCATTGTAAGGAGGTCTATCCTTCGCTATCATGTAAATAATTCCACATATATATGTACTCATGTGGAACTGTTTACATGACAGCTAAGAGTAGACTTCTTTGCAATGGTAAGTAAATCTTTCTAAGAAGTCACTGTCAAGATCAGACAAAGCTGGTTAATTTCTAAGTGACTTTCCATTTAGAATATGTAAGAAGCAACGGAAGAAGGAAGTGTGAAAGGGCCTTTGAAAATACACAGATATAAAATAAATGCGGGGCTGTTAAGACAGCTCAACACGTAAAAGCTCTTGTACCAAGACTTGACCACCTGAGTTCAATCCTCAGGACCCACATGATGGAAGGATGGAACCAATTCCCAACCCCTGACTGCCACATGTACTGTATATTACCACACACTAAATAAATACAAAGCCATTTAAAACATAGTAAGAACTTTATAAACAAACAAGAAAAACCAAGCAAGAAAGAAATCCCATATTTTAGAGACTTGAGCATAGTTATTGTCTGCAGGAAGAAGTACAAACAGACAAGGTTTGCACCAACCACCACTCTCTGCTGGTAAAATCCAAGAAACGTCTGTGCCTTGAGACATTTTAGATACAGAATTAGAACTGCAGTAAGGAAACCATAATGTGTGCCAACCATCCAAGAAGTTAGAGTGATACCCTGAAATCCATAATGTGGGGCCTCCTTTGACAAGGTCGAAGGAGCAGCCATCCTGCTCCAGGGTCACCAGGGCTAGAGAGAAGGCACTGAACCTGAAAGAGCCACGCCTTCCTAGCCTGGCATTATGGGATACTATGAAGAGCAAGATGTCTCTTAAAAGCTGCATTTCCAGGACTGATCAAAATCCTCCCAGATCCTCCCTCCGTCTTTCATGGTTATGGAATGAGTTTTGGAGTAAACTCGGAAGCAACCATGATGTCAACTGCTCTCTCACATTCAAGGGGCTGTGCCAGGAAGGCTGTATGAGCACAGATGCCCTCAACCGAGTGCCAGTGTACAGATTTGTTGACTACCATTGGCCACGTGGACCTGACAGCAGACTCCATGCTTATTGTTAAGTTAATGAATTAAACTTCACTATAAAATGACTAGAACCACAATGCTGAAGGTGTGTAAGAAGGAGGAAACACACACACACACACAAAACAAGTAATTTATTGTCAGTTCTAGTTCTGTGATGCCTTAATCTCCAGTTCCTTTAATGAAATGGTCTTAGTTTACAAGTGTAACTTATTTGCTGTTTTTTTTTTTTTAAATCCTTGGTGGTACAAATAACTAGAACATAGTTAATTATAATGGCATTCAGCACCAAGCCCTTTCACAGTGCCACTTTACCCTGAGTTTTAAAATAGGATGTTTTAATGACAAATGCTATGGGCTGAAGCACAGGGAAGGAGGGTGTTGATAGGAATCATTGGAAACACCTGGATCTGTGGAAACCGGAGTCTTTTCCCTTGATTTTCCTGCAGGGACAGAAATACTATTCATGCTCTATCTCAAAGGAATTCGTTGCAAATTGAATTACCTTTCCTGACAGCATCGCTTTCATAGGCTTCCTTCAGATCTCTGGCTTCCCTTCCATAGGGGAGCAATCCTTGGTCTCATGAACTGACCTCCTCCCTTTAGTGGATGAACTTAAGAAATGAATTCACCCAACCCTGTCACTCCCTCTCCCAGGGAACAGACACACAGCGGTCTTCTGGAACCTCTGCAATCATTGCCACAAGCCAAAGAAGGGGATTTGGTTAATGAAGGTGGTATTTTGGCTCCGTGAACCCAGGTGGTGTTTCTTAGCTCACTGTACATGTGGACAGAATCTGTGTGGCAGCTGAGATTCCATCATTATCCGCCCATGAAGTCCTTGGTGACTGATGTATTTGACAGTGATTTCAAGCAGAAGTTGGTTTGAATGGCTTCTATGCATTCATTCTTCATATTTTCCATGTTATAAAATAAAAAATTATACTGAATGTTAAACCCATTACTTAAAAAAAAGTCTCAGTCCATCCCCATATATGTACTGTAACTCATTTCTATAATAACTTATCCAAAACTCTGGCTATCTCTTCGGATAATGGTGGACCCACTTAACCTGCCTATTCCACTTGTTAGCATTGTGCTATTTATTCGTTGCCCATTATTCCAAAGCAAGAACAGACTGTTGCTAGCATAAACTGTGTGTGTGTGTGTGTGTGTGTGTGTGTGTGTGTGTGTGTGTGTGTGTGTGTAACTGGAGTTACTAGGGGTTGTCAGCCATCCTATATGGGTCCTTGGAATAGAACTCTGATTCCTGGGAAGAGCAGCAAGCGCTCTTAACCTCTACCCATCCAGCCTCCACAAACGCTTTCAATAAAAGTGCTAAGCATCAAAGCTCCACGGTTAGACCATCCATCAATTTCCCATACTGATGGCCACTTGAGTCACAAGACTTTTTCTTAACTACTGACATAGTGGGGAAACTTTACATTGTAAAGTTTTACTACTTGTCGTTGTTGCAATGTTTTTGTTTTGTTTTCAAAATTTAGGCTTTTCTCTCTATTAAATCGAGACCTTAAATATAAACCTTTTAACTTAACGGCAGCAAGATCCTTAAATTTTTGGCCTTTACACATCGTCTTTGCCATTAGGTTTCTATTTCATTAATCGTTATTTATTACAGCTCTACCAATTCTCTCTGATTGAAAACAAAAACAAAAACTAAACAACTAATGGTCCAAGAAGCAGTGATGAACTTCCTATGGGCTGGTTGCTAATCCTTTTGTTATGTTTTCTTCCTCTTTTTTCCTCCAAATCCTTCTACATAAAGCACCTAATCATATTGTTGAAGTTAAATGACATTTTGAGTAAGCTCCAAATAAATGCATTGAGCATTTTGGGGGCTTTCTTCCCTCCAAGAATGGTCCAAATTCCATAGGTATAAATCAGAGAGAGTGAATTATGCCTATATGAAATTTTAGATGTCGGGGACTCCCGAGTTCCCAGAGGAAAAATGATCACTCTCCCATCACGTAGACAGTTCACCAAGTTCCTGGATCAATGTGGTTTCCCTGGTGCTGACTGGCAATGCCTTTTGTTGTAGGCAGAATACTTCTACGAATTCCTGTCTCTTCGCTCCCTGGATAAAGGCATCATGGCAGACCCAACTGTCAATGTCCCTCTGCTGGGAACAGTGCCTCACAAGGCATCAGGTGGGTGGACGTTGCTTTGGAGCAGTTTGTCCATAAGACTTCATGGAGATGGGGGTATAGAAGGGACATGTGTCGTCCATTAGAGGGATTATGGGATGTATTCCTGAGGAGAGCTGTTGAATTGAGGGCAGCTTGGTCATTATCCTTCAGGCAAACAAGAGAGCCAAGACCACACCCAATTCATTAAGGATTCTAGATTTTTTTTTTTTAAATAAAGGAAAAGGAAAATATACATGCTTGATGATGTGGACATATTCAGTCAGGGAATGTGGATTAGCACAGTACACACAAATGTAACAAAGATTCAAAGTGGTTGGGGGCAGATGATAACCAAGAAGAAGTTCCCCAAAGTGAGTCAGAAAGCCTTTAGGGGATGGAGTGATGTCAGTTCAAGCTTCCAGATGTAACCATCCTGCGGGGCTGAGAAAACCATGTATGTGATTTGGTCCCAGCTTGTGTGATACCCACTCAAGCATTATCGAACTTAATCACACTAAGACCAGAACTCTATTTTATAAGCTTAAAAAAAAAAATGAAGGATCACACAGCTTGAACAATACGTCCAAAGTCTGATGTTAGTCATAGATAGTAGAGTCAAGGCCAGAGCCCAGGATTCCCGGGTTTTAGGAAACAGAAAGTTCTCCTGTACTTCCTTCTCGTCCTGCCTCAAGGATCTAATGTTCTTACACTTGACACTTCATGACAAGCATGCTATTTATAGGTCTTTCTTTCTTACCCTTGTTAAGACATGAAGCATAACATTCTATTATATGGATTGCCATAGCTTGTTTCTCTGTTCCCTCGGTTTTCATTAATGAGATTTCTTTTTAGAGTTTTCATGTTATAAATATCATGATAAACATCCTTTGAAATGAATAGATGCTCACTGCTGTAAGGGAAGGGCCCCATGCATCTTATTTACCATGACCCCTAATGCAAGGTTTAGCAAACAGCCAGCACAGACAAAGTCTTGACTGGATTAATACGTATACTAAACAGTTGGTACCTATTTCTTTATTATAATAGATTGTTGTATACTGAATTCTTGGTGCTTCTTTATTATAATAGATTGTTGTATACTGAATTCTTAGTGCTTATAATAAATAGATGTTGGAAGTGATATTTTTGTGGTAAAGATCATGATATGAACTATTAACATAAAAACAAAACCTATGAAACTGCTCAAATGCCAATAGTACTTGCCATGAGTTGCACCTATTTGTACCCTGGCTCCAGTGTGGGAATGTAATCTCATCAGTATAGGTAACCAATTACATCAGCTACTTTGCCAATTTAAAAAGTAAAAAGTGGCCTTTTTGCAGCGTTCTCCAATAATTTTTAAATTTTTAAAATTTCCTACTGATATAGAACGAACATTATCCCTGAATTTAGTAGACTAGGTGGAATATCAGTGTTTTGTTTTGTTTTGTTTTTTTTATAATGAGATAATAGTGTTCTTATTAGCTTGCATAACTTGTGGCACATACATTTATTTACCTTTTACTATGCTTTTTTTTAAGCTACTGTTTTTACTTATTTATTTGTTTAATTGGTGGGAGAGTGAAATTTATATTGCCAGACATATTTTTCCTTTGCAGTTTTTCCCATTTTTTTTTTTTATGTTTCATTAAGTTCTACTCCAGAAAGCTGTCAAGTGTCCACTTACACGTACTTCTAGAATCCTAGGAACATTTATTTTGGCTGGAGTATAAACGAACAGCCCTAGCCCAGGTTGTTCTCTGTCATTGGCCCTCTTAATGGAAGAGGTCCCGCCCATATGGCATGCCCTTTGCATTTCCATGTGCAGTCAGCCATGGCTTTGTAGCATTTAGGAAAAAGTGATAGCGATGCCTACTTTTAATATCATTCTTCTAGAGGGACAAGAAGAAAATCGTCAGGTATCAAATAAGAATCCCATCAGGGGCTAACAGGGGTCTGAATTGTGATTAGGAAATGAGGCCCCTCCACCGAGCCTGGGCTCCTACCGTCCACCATTTCCAATGGGTCTGTGATGTGATCTGCAACTTCAAGACTAGAAGATAGTCTTTCTAGATCCTGGCCTTCACAGCCAGTGGGGGCGCAAACAGGAGGGGTGAGGTGGGTGGGGTCTTAGTTCTTTGCAGTCATCTTCCTGGTGCTGTCCTGACCAACAGCCTCGCAGGGCATTCACCGCCCATCTGCAGGGGTGAATGGGTGAGGGTTTGCATTCTCTCAGGGCATTGGCTACCCATCTGCAGGGGTGAAGGGGTGAGGGTTTGCATTCTCCCAGGGCATTGGCTATCTGCAGGGGTGAAGGGATGAGGGTTTGCATTCTCCCAGGGCATTGGCTGCCCATCTGCAGGGGTGAAGAAGTGAGGGTTTGCATTCTCCCAGGGCATTGGCTACCCATCTGCAGGGGTGAAGAAGTGAGGGTTTGTAGTCTCCCAGGGCATTGGCTGCCCATCTGCAGGGGTGAAGGGATGAGGGTTTGTAGTCTCCCAGGGCATTCACCGCCCATCTGCAGGGGTGAATGGGTGAGGGTTTGCATTCTCCCAGGGCATTGGCCGCCCATCTGCAGGGGTGAAGTGGTGAGGGTTTGCATTCTCCCAGGGAATTGGCTGCCCATCTGCAGGGGTGAAGGGGTGAGGGTTTGCATTCTCCCAGGGCATTGGCTATCTGCAGGGGTGAAGGGATGAGGGTTTGTAGTCTCCCAGGGCATTGGCTGCCCATCTGCAGGGGTGAAGGGATGAGGGTTTGTAGTCTCCCAGGGCATTGGCTGCCCATCTGCAGGGGTGAAGGGGTGAGGGTTTGTAGTCTCCCAGGGCATTGGCTGCCCATCTGCAGGGGTGAAGGGGTGAGGGTTTGTAGTCTCCCAGGGCATTGGCTGCCCATCTGCAGGGGTGAAGGGGTGAGGGTTTGCATTCTCCCAGGGCATTGGCTGCCCATCTGCAGGGGTGAAGGGGTGAGGGTTTGCATTCTCCCAGGGCATTGGCTATCTGCAGGGGTGAATGGGTGAGGGTTTGCATTCTCCCAGGGCATTGGCTATCTGCAGGGGTGAAGGGGTGAGGGTTTGTAGTCTCCCAGGGCATTGGCCGCCCATCTGCAGGGGTGAAGGGATGAGGGTTTGCATTCTCTCAGGGCATTGGCTGCCCAAATGCAGGGGTGAAGGGGTGAGGGTTTGCGTTCTGTAGAATCTCGGGCCTGAGATCTGACATTTTGAGGACACGGGCATCCTACTCCAAAGACACGGATATTTCGATTCTGATGCCATGTGCCACACTTTTCTACCTCTTGAAGATGAGTGACACACCTAGACTCTGAAAGTCCCTGGGACATGCTCACTACATAGCTCCCTGCCATGGCATGCAATATTTCTTTTCAGCCAAAGATAATTTTCTGTACATTTTTTTCTTGATAATTTCCCCCTCTCTTTTCCTAAAGAGCCAAGAATGAACACATAGCATGTTTATCGGCATCCAATGTAAATTTTAATTTTTTCCTTGCCTTCTGATTACTAAAACTCATACAGAAGCTTCCTGCCACTTAATAAAATTCATCATCTCAGTTAATTACATTGGCACTTGTAGTGTCCAGTAAAGGATTTTTGCTAAGATTCCACTATTGAAGCTATTGACAGGCCGACTATTGGGTACATAGGACAGAATGCCTTTAGAGGGACTGCTTAAATTCAGCATCACTTTCGAATACTATGCAACTTAGAGAAAGAAAACCTAGAAGCTGGGGAGATTTCCCCATTGGGAAAGTGCTTGCCACACAGACCCCTGGCAAAACCTGAGCTTGGCAGTGCCCAGTTGTAATCCCATCCCTGGAGGGACAGGCTCCTCTGGGCTTGCTGACCAGCCGGTCTAGCAAATTGTCACGCTCCATGTCCACTGAGAGATTTCTTCTCTCACCAAGGAAAACATCTGATTGATATGGACCCCTGACCTCTGCATACACACAGGCACACACACGTGCACGCATGCGCATACATAAAAACGAAGTGCAGAGGGGAAAAGCAGATGTCATTCGGGTCAAGGTGAGATTTTTTTTTTCTTCAGGGACAAAGTGACGTCCCCACGTGTATATTTGTGCACACGCCTCCCGCTTAAGCCCTTTCGCCTGGGTGAGCACATGTATTTTCTTTTTTCTCCTTTCTTTCAGAAGCAGATGTAAGGTTTGCAAGACCGCAGGTGCGCGAAGTTTATGGGCTTTCAGATCATTGTGGGGCAGCGGCTCATTAGCCTCATTAGCTTGGTCACCACAGTAGTAGTGAAGGCACCTTGAATTATTAAAAAGTAACCAAGTCACTGTGTCTTTGCTCCTAAGCATCCAGGTAGCACTTGTTATTACGCCTCGCTGTTTTACACCGCGAGCTGCTGAGCTGTCCTTAGTGCCACAGGCGCCTTAGTGCCGGGACATCCCCTGATCTTTAACTTAAGAAGTGCCTGCCTGCCTTCTGGCATTTGAAGAGAACAAAAACAGGAAACACAAACTGAGGACTGGTTCGGTTAAATTACCGAGTTATATGCATACATGTACGTGTGTGTGTGTGTGTGTGTATGTGTGTGTGTGTAAATATATATATATATATATATTTTTTCTTAAAGCCAGGGTTTTGCCTCTCTGAAGGTTATCACTATATGAAACCCATAGTGTGTCTTAGGAACCCTGGGTGGAGAAGGTTTTAAACAGGCGTTCACGTTCAGAGGGGCACCATCTTGTCGATGGCTCCAAGCCAGAATAAATGGTCAGTATTTGCTGAGAGACGGGATGCCACAGCAGTTAGAAGCCCTGGGTATTTAGGTTGAATATTTTTTATACACTCGTGTATGTGTGCATGCATGTTCCCATGGGTGGCACATGTATGTGTGTGAGTGTGAAGGCCAGAAAACCACCTCAGCTGTTATCCCGGGGAAACACTACCCTCCTCATTTGAGACAGGCCCTGGAGTTCACCCAGTTGGCCAGCCAATTAACTGCAGGGATCACCTGTCCATACCTCCTCCCTGCTAGGATTGCAAGCACAGGCCACCGTGCCTAGCACTGGACCAAACTAGGCCCTCTGTGGGTGACAGTTGTGTGGCTTCACCTTTGGGAGGGGAGTGGCCCGGCACCAGGGGCATGAACTGGCTTTTTGGAGCCCATTCCCTATGGTGGGATGCCTTGCTCAGCCTTGATGGGGGGGGGGGAGAGGGGTTTGGTCCTGCCTCAACTTGGTATGCCAGACATTATTGACTCCCCAAGGAGGGCCTTACCCCTCTGAGGGTGGATGTGGGGTGGGGAGGGGGTAGGTGAGGGTAGGAAGTCGAGGGAGGGGGAACTGGGGTTGGTATGTAAAATGAAAAGTAACTTTTTAAATTAAAAAAATTTGTATTAGTCCTTTGAGAATTTCACACAACATGTTTTGGTCATATTTCTCCCTCTCCCCTAGCTCCTCCCAAGTCCACTCTGACCTACCCAGCCAGCTTCCTGTTCTCCCTGTCTTTTACAAAGGCCCATCGAGTCTGATTTGTTTGGCTCCAACACTCTTGGGTGTAGGGCCTGTCAGGGAGCAGGGTTTACCTCTCAGGGGGGTCACACCTTTAAAGAAAACCGAATCTTCCTCTGCCAAAAGTTATCAGTTGCCAATAAGTCCTCAGCTGGGGGTGCAACTTTGTGCCTACCTCCCACCTCGACGCCTCGACGCTGGGATTTTGTCTGGCATGAGCTTGCACAGGTCTTTGTGCACACCGCCACAGGCTGCAAGTGTGTATGGGCGGCTGCCCTGTTGTGCCCAGAAAATAGTTCCCCTGGAGTCATCCACCTCTTACATCTTTCTGCCCGCTCTTCCCAGGAGTGAAGGGACATCCCACTTAGTGCCGAGCACGCTAGTCTATCAATAATGTTTTATAGCCAGGTGGTGGTGGTGCATGTCTTTAATCCCAGCACTTGGGAGGGAGAGGCAGGCGGATTTCTATGAGTACGAGACCAACCTGGTCTACAAGAGCTAATTCCAGGACAGGCTCCAAAGCGATACAGAGAAACCCTGCCTCTTTCTCAGTGGGTGACATGATGATCCAGTATATTCTGGAACATTGCAAAATCATTCTCTCACCCAATAGCCAATGTCTGATTAGCCCATTCCACCTAGTGACTTGGTGGCACCTCATCCTCTTTGTGCAGAAACAATTTGTCCTGTCTTACCTTATAGCTTTGCTGTCAACACCTGGGCGTGCCAAGTACCCATCAGACGCACAAGAAGTGCATCCTCCTGGCTCTTTGGGGCTGGTAACACAACCTACAAATGTCTTGTCCTAATTAATATAGTTATGCTTCCTTTTTGCATCTTTAATTTGCAGATTAAAAATTAAATAATTAAAAAGAGCCACCTTTCTAAGGTATGAAAACCAGTGTTAGAAAGATAGCTCAGTGGTTAAGGTCAGCTACTGCTCTTAAAGAGGACCCAAGTTTCCTTTCTATGTTAGGTGGCTCACAACTGCCTGTAACTCCAGCTCTTGAGGATCTGACATGCTCTTCTGGCCTCCACACACTTGCACACATGTGCCCATACACACATACGCGCCCGCGCATCCACGCACACCCACACACATGCACACACACACACGCGCACACACGCACGCATACGCACACTACGTACACACAACATCATACAACACACCCAACACACACACATGCACAGAAATTAAAATAAAATCTTAAAAATATATATACAAGCCAAGATTATTAAACCAAAGATATACAAGCTAAGAACCTGTCCCCCCAAAAGTTTTATCCACAAAATATGCCCAGTTCTGCATTATTGGAACACAAATTACCAGGAGTCATTCATTCTTTTAGCACCTAGTGTGGCTCATAGTGTGGTTTCTGTAAAGCCAGGACCATTTGGCTAAATTGATCTCACACACTCTTTTCCTTTCTAGTCGTTCAGGTTGGTTTCCCGTGTCTCGGCAAACAGGACGGGGTGGCAGCATTTGAGGTGAACGTGGTTGTCATGAATTCTGAAGGCAACACCATCCTCCAGACCCCTCAGAATGCTATCTTCTTTAAGACATGTCAACAAGGTGAGCACCGACGGCCACTCAAGAGAAGCTTAGGAGGTGGCGAGTCCAGGGGTTGTTTGGTTCCCTTGTCTGGCTCTATATACTTCGCAGGGAAGGGCTCGTGAACACAGCGCCCACTAGCGTGCACTTAGATTTTTCTAGATTTTGACACAGGTAGGAATCTCAGGGACTCCCGCGTGCTGTCCCAGCTCTGGCCCCTTACCCTTTCCTAACGTAACATTTAGGAGTCCCAGGGTATCTCACCCCTGGCCACAGATGTCCCCTTTCTCGTTCCAGTTCCTCATTGCAAGTGTCAGTCATCACCAACATTTCTCCCTGGCGGATGCCACTACCCATGTCCCTGCCAACTGCCTGGCACAGTGCGCAGGCACAGAGGACAGGAAGTCATGGTCACACAATGATCCTGCCTGGCAGGCGCCTCTTGGCTATGCCCCGGGTGCGCATGCGCACTAATAACCCCAAGGGTCGCGTTTAAGCCCTGGAGCCAGCCAGTGCTCTGAACACATACAAAAAGAGCCCCTCTGTTCTCCAGCCACGAACACCGAAGGCAATGCCCTGGTGTGAATCCTCTGGTGTGGCTTTACAGAGTTACCGCACTTTCGGAGGTGGGAAGAAGTAAAAGTTGTTTTATTCCCTTCACGTGCATCCCCTACTGTTGTAAATAAGATTGCAGAAAGCACTGAGTGGAAACCGAGGGGTGCGGAGGGAAGGTTAAAGACTGTACCCAGAGGACACTGGAATGTAAATGACCACCAGTGTCTCACGCTGCCTGGCCTCAATGAGGGGCATGCTCCATGCCTTGTTTCCCTTCGGTGCAGCCGAATGTCCCGGAGGGTGTCGAAACGGCGGCTTTTGCAACGAAAGGCGAGTCTGTGAGTGTCCCGATGGGTTCTACGGGCCCCACTGTGAGAAAGGTAAGCAAGGGTCCACCTGGCTTGCTCCCCTGGCCCATGGAAGCCGCAGACAGCCCACCACGTGGGTCTTCGCTGTTTTAATGCATCTCTTGAAATTACTCTTTGGTAATAGTTTAAGGATGAGTGAAACTTTAGCCGCAGAAGACCTGTTGGCTAGTCGTGCTTCTATGGTTCAGTTTCTGTTTAATTTGAACTCTGGCCAGAGAACCTTGATCTAGGGCCTCTGTTCTCTGCCATCAAGCCTCCCACTGGCCTATAATTTGCAGTGAACTTTGTGATACTCTAAGCATCACAACTAATTGAAACTCTTTCAGTTAAACATAGCTCTATTCACACAATCAAATCCATACCTGAGTATAAGTTATACCTTAGCATAAGCTGAAAGACGGGTTGAAAATAATTTGGGTAGTGAGTACATTTATTTCAGAGGTACTATTTTTGAGACCATTATATGAAAGGAGATGAATGAGAAATATGAATATTAAACCCAAGGTCTTTAAATACCAAGAACTTACCTGACCAGAATAAACAAAAATATTCTTTCTACTTTTAAGAGATAAGAATATTTTCTTATTTTCACTTATCTTAGAGTTTGAAAGTCAAGGAAATGGGAAAAGAAAATATATTTGAATTTGTTTGTTTGTTTGTTTGTTTAAGCACATCATAGTCAAGTTGATTCTGGGAAAGATTTTATTTTATTATGTTGTAGCCCTAACTGTCTTGGACCTCGATTATATAGACTAGGGTGGCCTGGAATTCACAGAGATCCATCTGCCTCTGCCTCCAATTCCTGGCCTGATTTTGAGACATATTTAATCAGGCATTCAAAGTAGAAAGAATTCAAAATTCTTGCTTAATACATTGGCCGAGAAGTTGAAACATAACCAAATCAATACCACAAACTATTTTTTTTAAATTGCAAATTGTATACCTAAAGCGTAAACATTTTAGACTCTATCACAAAGCTTAAGTTGAGGAGACATTGACGTTGTAAAATGAACCTGCTCTAGACCCCTGTTTGGCCTTAATCAGAGTCCTCTCTCCCTGTAAGCCCTCTGCATACCCCGGTGCATGAACGGCGGGCTGTGCGTTACTCCTGGTTTCTGTATCTGCCCACCTGGGTTCCACGGCGTCCACTGTGATAAAGGTAACAGTCGTTTGTTCTTCCTTCTCTTTATTTTTTTAAAGATTTGTGTGTGTGTGTGTGTGTGTGTGTGTGTGTGTGCATGTGGAGGTCAGGAGAGAGAGGGTAATGGAGCCCCTAAAGCTGGGGTTACAAGTGGTCACAGCTTCCATTTGGGACTCAAACCCTGTCCTCTGGGGGAAACAGCCAGTGTTCTTAACCACTGACCTCTCTCTCCCCAGCCTCCCAAACGCACGCTCTCGATGGCATCACCCTGTAAACACGATATATTATGCGGAATAAAGATGACTACTATGATAACAGCAATCCCAATTTTGGTGTTGCTTAACCCACAAGTTGTTTATTTTCACTCCCAGAATTCTCCAGCACAGGAGTCTCCAGGTCAATGATGTAAGCAATGTCCATCTGTGGTAGCCAGACAGGGCAGAAAGACAGGGACACTCCATACAGGGACAAGGGACGGCTCTCGTCAGCCGAGAAGCAAGAATTCCAGCACAGATGATATTTGCTGTGGAGGTTACTGACATACAGAGCGTTTCTTTCCTAGATAGTTCATCTTGAAATAGCAGGGAACCAGACTTAACGCCTCAGTGCCTATGGCCTTGTGTGGGGCCTCATTCAATACTCTGTTTACAAGAGGTCGAGTGCATGTCTGTAAACATGGCAGCAGTGTGTCAGATTTCACTTACAGGAAGTGGATGCAAACTTGGCCCCTGAAATACTATCTGCCTACTTAGCCAGCCCACAACTTCTCAGTGGGAAGACCTTTTTAAATACTCTGTAAGCCAGGCAGTGGTGGCACACACCCTCAGTCCCAGCACTCAGGAGGCAGAGGCAGGTGGATCTCATTGAGTTCAAGGCCAGCCTGGCCTACGACAGTACACAGAGAAACCCCGTCTCGAAAAATCAAAAATAAATAAATAAATACTCTGTAAAGTATTTGGATTTAATGATGGCATCCTAATACCCACAATGCTATTTGCCACAGACAGTTTTTTTTGTTTTTTTGTTTTTTGTTTTTTTTTAGTTAATAAAATATGCTTTAAACAGAATAACAAATACCGTTTTTTAAGCAGTGTCTCCTGTGGTCAGTTTCCCAGCATGGAGTAATACCGAAGCTTGGTTTTCTGTTTGGTTGGTTTGGTTTGCTTCTTCACATGTGGACGCAGTTTTTTTTTAAAAGGAAAAGAAGAGTAAGGCCAAGTGATTTGAATGTCATTGTCTTAGGCCATACAAAGCACTTTCAATGGAGTGTCTGGTCAGATTCTTGACAACTGTCCCGAGAGGAGAAAAGCATCCTATATTTCCCAGAGAAGCATGCTGGCTTTTATACAGCTTGGATCACAGATTTCATTCCCTCCACTGTGCACCTCGCCCGTCACTCTATCCAATCAGGTCACGGCTGCTCCCAGGCAGATAACTTGGGTCACAAGTTCTTCCTCTCTGCCTCCTATCTTCCGTCCCCGGGATGGGATCCTAGCTGAGCATGTGTATCTTTTTATTGCTAAGCCATAGCATTAGACTGAAAACATTTAAATACATATTCCTAAAGACTAAGACCTAGCGGCAACAGTAATTTTTTCCCAGCGAGTCAGTGAGATTCCTTCATTTGTCCAAGTTTAGCATTTGGCATCTCTACCATTTTGAAAGCAGGCATTTCTTGGAGTGCGATATAACTCAGGCTACGACAGAGCTCCTGGAAACAAAGCAGACCCTCAGACACTTGAACTGACACACACCCAGGGTTAATGAAATGATTAGTGACTCCTGTCTGTTCAGCGGTGGCCATTATTGCCAGGACTTATATGATGGAAGATTCGCTGAGGTCTTTTATCCAATTATCCAACCTGGGCTGGCTCACCCCTCCTTATGCAACCTGGTGTTCCCTGCTCCCAAGAGGTCACTGTACTGATGCTGATAGCCACAGCCATAGAATTCTTGGACTCAAGAGTTCCTCTTGTCTCCTAAGTGGCTGAGACTACAGACATGCACCATAGACTGACTACTGTGATACATATGTATGTACATTATAAGTGTATGTGCATGTATGTCACAATATACTACATATATATAAATGCTACAGTGTCACAGTACTTCAGAGTTATGAAGGAAAAACATACATTTGTATCCCAGTACATTTGATATTCCGTAATATTTTGTCTTTCAGATGAAAGATTTTCCTACATGCTATACTCTAGTAATTTTTTTTTTTAAAACCCATTTGGAAAAATCTGTTGGAACTTCATTTGGTCTCGCTGGAGACCTTGGAACATAAAACATATCAATGTTTACTGGCTCAACAAAAGATTGTTTTATTACCCACTTAGAAATATGGAGATGAAAAATGGTTTTAATTACTGGCATGGAACTAGACTCGAGCACTATATTTTGGAACAAACATTAAAGAATCATGTCCATTGGCTCCAGGGACATCTGCCACAGACATCAGGGAATAACTAGTTAAGCGCTGGCCAGTCTACCCTCAGCCACAATGAAAGTTAGTTAGTATCCTTGGTTCACAGCAAAACAAAATTCACCTTCTGTTTCCATAACTGACAGCGAGAGGGAGGGGCTTGGGAGGAGTTAGAGCTTGCTTGTCCCCCTCCCCCACCCAAGCTGTAATTCGCTGTGTGGAATCATCCAGCTTCATCTCTCAGGCTCAGTCATGGCTCATCCTCATCCTTGGGATCTTACAGGGTCCACAGCCTGTCTCTCTGAATGCAATTACCGGAGCCTTTCTCCAAGCACTGTGGCAGTCTCTTTTTAACTCCTGTTGGTTAAAACGGAGCTCGGATCCTCTGAGAGCTCCTTGTTGGACCTTGACATTTTGACATCACTTTTCCTTTGTCGAACCCAAATAACTTCTCTCCCTTTATCTTCCAACCCGATTTGCAGGTTCTTCTTTTTAGCACATAAACTTTATTTGGAAAGACTTAAAACACACACACAATTTTGAATAAAATGTGTGATACCCTAGTCTCTCTGAAATAGACTCTTTGTAACTTGGCAGTAATTATAATTTGAACCTGTTATTGCAAATAATGGGGTGTTTGGTTGTAACTTTAATTTTTTTTTAACTGTGAAAGTGGTTTGCTTATTATGTAGATGAGAACATACCAGACACACACTGGAGAAACATCACTCTCTTTAAGTGAAATTCTTGCTAGCCTTAACTGCCTGTCTAATGAAGCACCCTGTCATTCATCCTAACAGCAAACTGCTCAGCCACCTGCTTTAATGGAGGTACCTGCTTTTACCCAGGAAAATGTGTTTGCCCTCCAGGACTCCAGGGAGAGCGGTGTGAGATGAGTGAGTACAGACCTGGGCATTCATTTGGCTTGGTAGGAGGAGGGGGGGGGACCTGAAGGGCTGTCTCATGCTTCCTTCGGTGGATCGGAAGCCTGGATAGAATGGAGACCGTGTGTGAGATCTCCGGCCAGTGGTTTCTTTTCGCTAGCCACTCCCTTTGTCTAAGGCTAAGAAAGGAGTTGTGTGTCCCAGAGGCTCAAGACAAACCCAAAAGCTCGGAGGGCTTTCCTCTGCCGGTCATTACTAAAACCCTAGGGTAGACTGACCTAAGGAGGAGTTACACCGTCCACAGCAATGAGAACAGGACCATAAGTGGCTCCCGGGATACAGCGCACAAAAGGAGGCAAAACCAATGGGCGAAGAAGAAACCTTAATTGCTGTTGGGAGGCAAAAGTAATTTTGCTGGGTGCTGGGAATGCCTGTGTCTTCCATAGCAGGGTTGCCTGAGTTCTCAGATTAAAAAAATGAATAAACGCAGGGCTGGGCTGAGACTTAAAACTGATACCCATTATGCCCACACCACGTTGTCTGCCACGCTGCTATACAAAAAGCCGAAGCATGGTCCCAGCTCTGACACCTGCCAGCTCTCACGCACCCAGATTTCTCTTGGAAACTCAAGAAATGAGTCAATTCGGTCTAAGCCGCACTGTGACCCAGAAGCCTAGCATGGTGGCGCATGTCCAGGCAGGCCACAAGCCATCCAGTGTGCCTGCTGAGGGTCCACTTCCGACTTTTGGGTGTTTGTCCAGGGCAGCCCTTCCCAGCCGAGCCGGCTCTAAAGCACTGCTGTGTTTGGCACCGACGCTGTTTCCAAAGTTGAGGTAGATTCCAAATTGAATAATGCTATGTTCCTATTTTAACTTCCAACCTCTAATTTATTTGTGGGTTTTGTACTTTAATGAGTAGTGGATGAAGTCACCTTTTTTTTTTTTTTAATAGAGTTCAAATGAAATCACTCTGAAGTTTCCATTGAACATGTAATTAATTGTCAGGATGTGGTTTCTGTTCTTATTAATTACTCTTTCCTGATAAAGACATCTTGAGCTAACTCCCCTCAATTTTCTCCTGATGCTAAGCCCCAGACATTGCTTTGTTTACGAGTCTTTGTTCATGGGTTCATTTCACATAATGGTGCCTTTTCATGCCTCTGTGTTTATGAACTTTCCTCTGGCAGAGGCTCTCTCTCTCTCTCTCTCTCTCTCTCTCTCTCTCTCTCTCTACTTTCCTCCCTCTACCTTTCCTCTCTCCTCTGTCTGTTTTTCTTTTTTAATTCTAACTGGACCAAAAATGTAGTGTTTTGGAAACCATGAATTCATTCAAATTCCTTTAGAAAATTTCCAGTTTCAATGAAAGGGAACACTACCAGTAGAAGAAAAAAAGCAGAATAGGTCTGGAGTTGAAGTTTCTCTGAGTGTACAGACAAAAGGCAGTTGAACTATTTATTCTTATCTTTTAGTGAATATATAACTCACATACCATAAGATTTAACCCTTTAAAGTGTATCATCCTGTATATCACAGGCTATGCTGTTACAACAATCTGATTTCAGAACAACTTAAGTCCACCTTAAATAAAGTTTATACCTATAGTTGGCTATGGGTGGCCCATGCCTTTAATCCCAGCACCTGGGAGGCAGAGGCAGGCAGATCTCTGTGAGTTCGAGGCCAGCCTGGTCTACAGAGCAAGTTCTAGGACAGGCTCCAAAGCCACACAGAGAAACCCTGTCTCAAAAACAAACAAACAAAAACAACAACAACAAAATGTTTATACCTATGTTTATCAGAAATGTCTCCCAAATCCCCTCATAATCCCAGGGCCTGACAACCATCAATATTCTTTCTATCTGTCTAGCTTTGCCTGTTCTCAACACCTCACATAAGTGGAGTTATACAAGAGAGAGCATTTTGTGCCCGGGTTCCTCCATCAAAGGTCCCTGTTTTCAGGGACTGCACATGGTGCAGATTACACAGCTCATCAGTCCTTTCTGTTGCTGAGTAACACCCAGTAGTGTGGACAGACTCGTTTGTTTATTCACTTACCGGTCCAGGGACAGCTGAGTGAGTCTCCACGCAGACAGGTGTGTGTGTGTGTGTGTGTGTGTGTAATATATGCCATAGCATGTTAGTTTCTGTGTGTGTGTCATAGCATATGTGTGTGTGTAATATATGCCATAGCGTGTTCGTGTCTGTGTCTGTGCGTGCGCGCGCGCGCGTGCGTGCGTGCGTGTGTGTGAGGAACTGTTGGATTGTTTCTGGTTTTCAGTCCACCTGCAACCCTGACTCCCCCACGGTCTAACCGGTACTCATCATCCCTTCTTACGGGGCGTCTTCTCCTGTCTGTCAGCCTCTAACCCCCACTTCTCCTGACTTCTGCCAGGAATGACACCTTCTCAGTCCCCACTGAGACTTTTGAGAGATGCTGTCATTAGGTCTGTCCCTGCCCTCAGAGCTGTCTGGGATGCCAGCTATGCATGCATGTTGCTATGTAAGGCTTATAGGTTTTCTAAGAATCTTTAGTAGAACTTCGGTTAGAAAGGTCACACAAATTACTTATGTCCTATGATAAATAAGTTTAAAAATGACCTAATGGGAGCTTCTTATAAAAGTTCTCTGTAGAAAATAAGTTAAACTGTTGGAGGAAATAATAAAAAACCATTCAAAATTCCAAGGCCCACACATGGTGGGTGTTGGCCCTTGATCAGTACATGGTGGGTGCTGGCCCTTGATCAGTACATGGTGGGTGCTGGCCCTTGATCAGTACATGGTGGGTGCTGGCCCTTGGTCACCCCAGCTCTTTCCTCTTGTAGCTTAGTTGGGACAGGAGCACTTGTCTGACGTGCACAAGCCCTGTGTTTGATCCCCAGGACTGAATAAAACTGTCTATAATGGGGCACACTATGACCAGAACCGGGAAGATGGTAGTAAGAGGATCAGAGGGAAGCTCAGGGGACCCTCAGCTACAGAGTGAATTGGATTGGAGGCCAGCCAGGCCACATGAGACTCTGTCTCAAGAAAGGGGGGGGGGGCTTTAAAAAAAATAAAAGCTAAATTCTAGTCTACTGCAGAGCCCTTAACTTCCCAACATTGTTGTGTGCATATCGTCTTCATGACTAAGTGTGGCCTTGCCCAATTTATAAACAAATGAAGTTCTTTTGGGTCGTAAATAAAAACTAAAGTGTTTGTAGCAGAGCAATTTTCACATGAAATTCAATTCTTTTGTTAAAAAGTGTTTATTAATAAAGAACATTATAGTTTGCTTCATCTCAAGCTTTCTTTGGCCCACTTTTAAAAAAAAAAAGATTTAGTAAAGCGAAAGTTGAGGTTGTTAATGGCAACAACTTCATTAGTGAACAAACAACACAAGAACACAAACCCAGACTGGGTCACACTGAAATCCAGTGGCCTCTGGAAGTCTCTGGGACATCATCATGCACTTGGCAGGATGTAACTTCAGCTCTGGGTTAACAGCCCCTTTTCAGTTACTTCTAAGAAGTCATCCCACAGACAGAAAATTCTAGGTTGTAGAGGAAAAGAAACATTTGTAGCATAATGAAGGAGAACATTATTGCATAGTTCCTATACCTCTGTTCCTGTTCCCGTTCTAAAATTCTAGGATTCAACGCTCTTCGAAAACAGGGAGATTGGCGTGGCCTTGGGTTCTCAGACACTCCACAGATATGGATAGCCATGGCACCAGAGACCCACGCTCATTCCGCCCATTTGCTCTAGCAACCTCACCCTCATCTGCTCCATCCACGTCCTCCCCACCCAGGCGCATCTGAGTCCTTAGACATTTCATACTGCCATTCCACCACGGAAGTGAGAAGGCGACCTCTCCAAAGGACAATAAGCCAGTGGGCACCAGATGCCAATACACAAATGTCCCCTTCTATTCTTTTCAGTCAGCTCTCGTGTGCTTCTGATCTAATCCTTGGGCGGGCCAGCGGGACAGAGTCCAGGTGCCCACAAGCACACTTTTCTCCTGTCTTTTCCCTCCTCCTCTATCCGTGCCCCCATCCTGTCCCCAAGGCTCACTTCCGGTTAAACTACCTAAATGCAAACTTGCTTTCTGAAAGACGAAGCCAGGCTAAGGCTATCATCAGGTGTGGGTATAGATGAACTCACTTCCAGAAAAAAACAAAACAAAACAAAACAAAACAGTGATCTGCAAAAACCAGAAGTTGTTCACATAGAAAGTCATGTATGAAGGTCTAGAGCAATGTATATGAATCTACAAGCATGTATGAGCCAGGATAGTTTGAATTTTCTATTTCTGTGCATTTGGCAATATATTCACTGTAGAAAGGGGGCATTATAATAACATAATATATATTGTAATTCATGTAATATGTAATGTAATATATAATCATGTCAACATATTAGTTTGTCTCCAAAACAAAAACAATATAAAGGCCAGAGGAGACCTACAATAAATGGAAATGATTGCCATTTCAAAGTGTTTCTCCACTCAAAGCCTTGTGACTGCTTTGAGAGAAGCGATTACTGTTGAATAAAGACCTGTGTTCCTTCCTTACTTAACAAGTTTCCTCTCTATTGCAGGCAAATGCCCACAACCGTGCCGAAATGGAGGTAAATGCATTGGTAAAAGCAAATGTAAGTGTCCCAAAGGTTACCAAGGAGACCTCTGTTCTAAGCGTAAGTACCACATTCGGTGACAGTATGGGTGCAGGGTTAGAGCATTTTCTGTCTGCTCTGGATACAACGTCCATGTCTCCTGTGTGTTGTCCCTGAGCCAGAGCTGACCTTCCCCCCCCCCCCCGATGTATACTTCCTTTACTTAGACCAAGGGCATTGTGGGAACACCTGCATATAAAATATTTATGCACACAGCTGAATTCTTTCATTTTTAAATTTTGTTTGTTTAATCTATTAGAGATTTCTTGAAAGGAATAATCCCCCACCATCCGGTAGTTTAAAAATCTCACCGAGGGTCTTTGTGTATGAGAAACATGATGCTTAGCAGAAAGATCACTCATAAGGATTTTGTTTTTCCAACCTTGAAGCTGACTTTTGGCTGGAAAGTGACTTAGACAAAAACAAAGGGGGGGGGGAAGCAAAGCCAGAATGAACATATTCTAACGAACGAAAGGAAAAGGAAAAGTAGCTGTGTGGCTGTGTTTAAGAAGAGAAAGGAACAGGAAAGTCGAGGAAGCATGGCGTTACTCTGCTCTGATTCCAGCGGTCTGCGAGCCTGGCTGCGGAGCACATGGGACCTGCCACGAACCCAACAAATGCCAGTGTCGAGAGGGCTGGCACGGAAGACACTGCAACAAAAGTGAGCGGTGGGCACCCACATCCGGGGATGGCAGCCAGGGAGGGTCATCTTCCCACCTTCCCGTGACCTGCAACTCCGCCCTGCTAGCCGGGTCACCAGGGAACTTCTCTGCCCCCTGCCTCTGCTCATCTCTCCTCTCAGCTTCAGAGCCAACCACTTTTTAGAACAGAGTGTGTGTAAAACGACAGCAGATCTGTAAACATCATCACCTATATTCTTAGGTCAGACTAGTAATACAGGCTAGCTCAGTAATTCAGGGTTTCGAGGGAAGAAACTAATTAGAGTCAGCCTTATACCCTTTTCCTTCCTCCCTCCCTCCCTTCCTTCCTCCCTCCCTTCCTTCCTCCCTTCCCTCCCTCCCTCTCTCCTTCCTTCCCTTTCAGTGCTGGGGACCCAACCCCCACCATGAGCCTGCACACTAGTCCACTGCCACAATGCTTCAAGGAAAAGGAAGTGCGTGCCATTTCACATGTCAGTAACCAATTATGTCAATCCTGTCACACCTCCAAAATAAGAAGATACGAATTTGAAGTCATCACTTACACATCAATTATTTTTCTAGCTCAGTTTTCACAGGGCAGTGCACACAACCCAGGGACAATGCCCAGTGAGCTGGGCACAAAGGTTCTGTCACCCGTACAAAACTGAAAGCATGTTAGGAGCCTTCCTGTCACAGAGTCATCATGAGGAGACGACCACCTTGCACTCCAGTGGCGATCACACGGGTTCATCTGCCATGAGTATCTCTTTCAGAGCAAGGCATTGCATGAGAGAAGTTGCTTCTGTTGCTAACCTGTCCTGGGGCGGCCACCGTGCTCTTTTGTACACCAAACAAGAGAATCGAGCTGAAAGAATGGGGTTTATTTTGACTAGAGGGAGGTGACAGGGAAGCGCCAGTCACAGAGCTCCGGTGGGGTGGCACGTTGGGAGGTCCTAGGCACCCAGACCAACTCTCTGCTTTAGGCTCTCCCACCCCAGCAGGGAGGTTGGGCTACATGGGTGGCAAGCCAAGCCGCATGGGAGAGATTTACTCCAGTGCATTGTTAGAGCATGCTTTGACCGTCCCTCCAGCTAGTAGCCTACATGCTGACAATTCAAAGAAACACATCCAGCAACAGGGCTCTGTTCTCAACAGTTGTTTAACAGCATGCTTGCGTTTAAAAACCACAAGGAACATATGAAATGTTGAATCCGGTTGACTCCGATGCACCGGGAGACAGAGAGAGACTTTTAAGATGTAATTGCTGTCTTGGATCCATTTTAGGAAAGCAAAAATGAGCCACGCCCCCAGCACCTCCAGAAGTTCATGAATGGAAAGAAAGGAGGCCCGAGTTTCATAAACATGGTTGGAGATGGCTATTATGAGCACTTGGAGCAAAACTCAACAAATCCTACTGATAGAAGTCAGTGGAAACTATAGCTCTTCCCTGCTGTGCAGAGTGAGGTCCTAATTCCAATACAACACCTGTGTTGTATGAGTGCGATAAATTTCTTCCTGGGGTCTGTACGAAGAACAGAAGCTGTTATGTCTCACTGCTTTAACATGTATGAGGCTGGTTGGGTCATGGATCGAAAAGAATCCACGGCCAAACTCTCAGCAGGAGTATTGGAGACCTAGGTATAGGACCAGCCTTCTGCCCAGTCATCTTATGGCCAGGCTAGGCAAAGCCCACATGATAAAATGCATCCTCAGCATGCACAAAGTACTGGGTTTGAGTCCCAGCATCAAAAAATCCTGGCCTGGTGGTGTACACCTGTCATCCCCAGCTCTCAGGAGGTGGAGGAATGATGATCAAGAGTTCAAGGTCAACCTGATCTACGGGAGACTGTCCAGAGAGAGGGGGACAGACAGACAGACAGACACTAACAGAAACAGAACAGACTGACACACACACACACAGAGAGAGAGAGAGAGAGACTTTCTAAACAGCCAAAATACATAGTGAGTGGCGGGTCCAATAGAAAGCTGACCTGACGGAGTTGGTAAATAGGTTTTTAGTGACCAGGGACTGGAACCTGTCACTTGCTGCTATTCAGGTAGCTCTGTGTGGTCACTATGGTCTCACTCAGGGTTAAAAAGGAAAACTGGTTTCACTTGAGTGATTAATGAAAAATCCGAAGAGCCTGTTTTTGGGAGTTTCTTTTCTCCTAAGCTGTGAATAATTTTGCAGGGTATGGAGCCAGCCTCATGCATGCCCCGAGGCCAGCAGGCGCCAGGCAGGAGGAGCGGCGGGATCCACCTGAATCCAATTACATCTGGTGAACTCCACCAGCCGAAACGGTTCAAGTCACCCCGAGTTCATAGCCTTTGTTAACCTTTCATGTGTTGAATGTTCAAATGATGTTCATTACACTTTAGAATACTGGCCTGAATTCTATTAGCTTCGTTCTAAACCTCTGGGCTGATATTTACTCTTCCTTCTAGGTTTTCGAAGTATGGCCAGCAATGGTGGTAGACATTCTCCTCTTTTGGTCCTTTGGAACAGATCTTACGTAGTCAGTTGGTCAGGTTGAGAATGTGTCTTTTCAGTGTATAGTTGTCAGATATTTGCAAAACTACAACCCATTTGTGGTATTAAGACGGGGAAATGTGAGAGAGGCTAATGTGGACAAAGACGCATAAATCACAAGGGTTTGGATAAAGCAGTTAATAGCGATGAAGCTACAGCATTTGAAATTTGATTGTCAAATATCTGGACGTTTGTCTAATTAATATTTCAATTGCCTTCCCTTATCTTGAGGTGCATACGATATTATTTTGCCCTTACTATTATTCTAGTCAGTTTAGTTTTGGGGGGGGGATGAAGTAAAAAAAATTATACTGTGTTAGTGGCATTTAAACAATATAATATATTGTAAACACAACGAAATAAGGAATATAATGTATGAAGTCTTTTTCATTGGATGGAAGCAATATAATATATTGTAAGCAAAACACAGCTCTTACATAATAAACATTTTATACTGTTTGTATGTGTAAAACAAAAAAGGCGCTGCATTCATTTTCTGAGTGCTGTTGGGGTCTCTGCGGGACTGCTAGCTTATGGAAATAAAGTTGGTTGCTATTTCATGGTGCTTAGTATTTTCACAAAAGAGAGGTCAACTGTAGCTCTCCCTCCCCCTCCCCCTTCCCCTCCTCCCTCCACCCTTCACCCTCCCCCCTCCTCCTTCCTCCCTCCTCCCTCCACCCTCTTCCCTCCTCCCTCCCACCTCTCTCACTCTACCCCCCCCACCCTGCTGCCGGGCATGTTGCTGTCTCTGCATGCAAGACTCCCATTTCCATCACATCTCAGCTTGTCACTTCGTCCCAAGAACTCTGCTCTAATTGGAACATGTTAAACTTGTCTCCACTTCTGTCTTCTGTTTTCCTGATGTAACTGAGGAGCCAAGACCGCTTGTGGCTTAGGAAGTAGGAAAGTCAGAGACGTGTGGCTGCTACATCTGACAAACCCTTCCTGCCGCCGCCGCAGGTCGTGATGGGTGGCAGAAGGGCAAAATCAAAGAAAGACACGAGAGCAAGAGGAAGCTGAACTTGTGTTCTTAGCAAGCCAATGCCGAGGCAGCCAGCCTACTCTGCAAAAACATTCATCCATGATTTATGAAGGCAGGAGCCTCGGGATGTGATCTCTGCTTCCTAAGTGCTCCCTCCAACCAGGAATTACACTTCCAACATGAGAACTTTGGGAGTCACTATAAACCACAGAAGTGCCCCCTACCTGTGGGAGGCCTTCTAAGACTGGCTAAAGGTTTTAGAATTTCAAGAGTATAAAGCACCAGTTTCCATTACTTAACCTTCTGACCCAAGTACACATGTGTTATTTTACTAGTCTATGAAGCAAATATTACTGTTTCCTTTATTATACATAGGAAGCCCAAGAAGCATGAAGACAGTGAGAAATTTAGCCTAGGTCACCAAAGACAAGCACAGAGTATCAGCTACGCCATCTGATCCCAAGGTGATAACAACAGTGTGCTTTCTCTCTTCCCACATGCACTGAGGAACACAGATGTAAACCCTAGTGAACAGCTGCCCAACACGCACTGCTCACCCTCTTTCTCTACAGGGAGTGGAGCGTAGGCTTTATTTCATAACAACCTGCATCCAACAGGGTTTCTTCCCGCTGGGGAGTGGCCTGATCGGTTGTGTGGTGTAGGAAATGAATGTCAGGAAAAGAAGTTAGACAGCATGCAAAATTACAGACTGAAGTCATCTCCACTGACCATCTGCAACACCTTTAAATTATGGACTCCGCTAGATATTTGTGAGTGCAGTGGCTGGGCCTCTGATGGTAGACTGTCTGCCTGGCACACGTGAAGTGCTGGGTTCAGTTGTCAGCACCACAGAAAACTGGGCACGGTGGCACACATCTGTATTCTCACAGGCAAGAACAGAGGCAGGAGAATCAGCGGTTGGAAGTCATCCTTGGGTACATAATGAACGCTGTGTCTAATGGGGGAGAGGGGTACTGTGGGAGGCCGGAACAGGGTGTCAGATCCCCTGGAGATGTGTATTACCAGGCTGTTGTGAGACACCAGACATGGGTAATGGGAGCTGAACTGGGTCTTTTACGAGAGCAGCAAGCATGCTTAACAAGCAAGCCATCTTTCTAACCCCACATGCTGAGTGGAAGGCTGTCTCTGTCTCAGAGAGGAGGAGGAGTCTAACATGTGCACCATAAAAGTCAGAAATGTTTAAAGGGCAGAGAAAAACACAAGAATAAACTATAATATTCAATATCCAGTTCACAAACCCCAAATGATATATATGTGTGTGTGTATATGTGTGTGTGTGTGTGGACACATCATATAAGTGGAGAAATATGATATGAATGACTTTAGGGTCAGGGACTCAAAAGAGATTTCAGACCAAAGCAGGGGCTGTAAGGCCAGCTAAACATAGGGTTTCCAGTAGAGAGACACCTGAACACAATGTTAATGAAGTAGGGCATAGGAAGAACACAGATGGGTCAGGACTTAGGGTTTCCAGAGATATTTGGCTTAAAATTCCATTGCATTATCTTGTTGGAAGTGCCTGGTAGGTACTCGGAAATAACTAGTCCATTATTAGCCATATTATAAGTGAGCCATACTCATTATATATTGAACACTTTTGGTAAACATACACACACAGAGAGAGAGCTTTATTTAGCTAAGTGTGGTTTTGTTCATTTGTGGTTTTAGATTCTACATGTAATTGGGACTCTTTGATACTTACCTATTTACCTATGGCTTTACATATGGCCTTTATTATTCTGTTGAGTATTGAGGGCTCCTGGCCACCAGGTATGTTTTGAATCTTCATTCAAAAATATGCCCAGTGTTACTTTGTCAACATAGGTAGATCCACAACAGTAGAAACCAGCTTTAAAACAATGGCTGATAATTGTTACTGTATGGGGCCTGGAATAATGTTTTTTTTGTTGTTCATATAAAGTTACTCAGACGGGCAGTAGGAGGGCAGGGAGGGAGGAGAAGGGAGGTAATTGCATAGAACACCTCTATAAATATTTTAAGAGTTAAGGGCTAGCAAAACGGCTCAGCCAGTGAGGCTCTTGCTAACTGACAGCCTGAGCTCAATCCACAGAAGCCACATGGTAGGAGGAGACAGCTGCAGTGGTTCGAATGAGAATAGCCTGCCAGAGGCTCATGCTTCTGAGTGCTTGCTTCCCAGGTGGTGGAACTGTTAGGGAAGGGTTAGGAGGCGTGGCCTTTGTTGGAAGATACACGTCACTGGGTGGCTTTTGAGGTTTCAAAAGCCTATGCTAGCCCCATCTCTCTCTCTCTCTCTCTCTCTCTCTCTCTCTCTCTCTCTCTCTGTGTGTGTGTGTGTGTGTGTGTGTGTGTGTGTGTGTTGCTTGTATATCCCATGTACGCTCCCAGCTACTGTTCCTGAAACATGCCTGCCTGCCTGTCAACTGCCAGGCTCCCCTCCATGATGGTCACGGGCTATAACCCCTGAAACTGTGAGCAAGCCCCCAATAAGCTCTTTCTTTCTTTTTTGTAAGTTATCTTGGTCATGGTGTTTCTTCACAGCACTAGAACAGTGACTGAGCTAAGAACCAACCCTGTACGTGGTCCTCTGACCTCCACATGTTTGCTAGGGGCATGAGTCTCCCTCTCGCTCAAAATAAAAACCCAAATACCTGCAAAAATGATGAAAAGTTGAGGCACTAAGGGGACAAGAAACTCTGAAGAGGTCTGAAAAGATGTGGACTGCATGGCAAGATGAAAAATAGAGGGAGAATGAGAAATAAAGGAAGTGTGGACAGGCAGGCTAGAACAAAGGGAAAACACAAGCCCTGGCCCCAGCCACCTCCAAGAGAAAAGCATGCCTGAGGTAATACATCCCAAAGAGCATAAATACAAGGTAAAGCCATTGCTCGACATTAAGCCACAGGAAGTATGTCCACACAGGAAAGAGGATGAAAAGACGCAGGGCTGGGGCTAGAGATAAGAGCACTGGCTGCTCTTGCAGCGGACCACGGCTCAGTTCCCAGCCCCCATGCCAGGCAGCTCACCACTGACCACTCCAACTCCAGTTCTAAGGGATCCAGGGCCCTCTCCTGGCCTCCTAGGGTACCAGGTCTGCACATGGGGCACAGACATGCAGGCAGACACGCATACGCACAGCACAAAAATAAACAGACATTTTAAATGAAGGAGGGGAAGCGGGGAGGGATGGTAGTCCTGGGAAGGCTGCTTTTCTCCATCGTTTAAAGGGACCCTGCCCACATCCCCTCCACATTCATTTGCGAAGGGCCCATGAGAAGAAGAGGTGAGGGAGAAGGCTTCCTTTGGGGCCCCGCTTTCCAGCCATTGTCCCAAGACTATCTATTTGTACCACAGTCTTCAGTGAAGTCCAGCCAACCTACCCCAAGGGGAATGTACTGTTTAGATTTTTGAACACATTCCTTAATTCTTGCCGCTGAGGCAGCCGCCGCTGCCCCGCTGCCGCCGCCACCACCATCACCATCACTGCAGCTGCCACAGCGGCTGCCACCGCCAAAAGGAGGGTTGGCAATGAGGCATCGTTCCCATCTCAATTCATACCCAGTTATCCCTGTGACAGAATGGTCCCAGGCATGCTGGCCCTAAGTCTGTCCTAAATGAGAAAAGAGAAATGTTCCCGGAGGGATCTCGAGATTTCAGTGGCTCTCCCAAGGCCTTTCACATGCTACACAAATCCTCTACCACCGAACGGCATCCCCAGCCTTTCCCTGTGGGTTCTCAGAAAGAGGGAGGAATGTCGTGTAGTAGATGACACCTGGATCAACAGGCACACAAAG